TTGGAGGATTTCATTACTAGTTGTTGGAAGCGGGTAGCGAAGATACATTTATATGCCCAAAATAAAGTTTGTGAACATTAGCTATACCATGTCAGCTCAAATATTCCTGCCGGTTAATGCGCCACACACGTCCTCACAACCAAAAATAAATTTTGAGATTGATATGCATTAAAAAGGTACGGTAAAAGCTCAGTTTATCTATGAAACCATTGGTGTCATACTAATTCCGAGTAACGGTACCTAAAACGCTTTCGGTTTGGAGTGGCTGTGAATGTGTACATCAAATAAGTTAGATACTTGTACAACGCATCAAGAGGCAAATTTAAACGTACAATAGTGGTGATGAGGGCCCTCTAGGTCTGGTATTCATCGATGTTCATTTCTATGTAAACCGTGACAGAGGGTTATTGCGTTAGTCCAATGAAGCAAAACAACGGTTTCAGCCTTGCGTTGACAGCACTTGCCTTGACATAGTGCTGTTTTAAATATATGTCAAATAGTTTAATCATCGCCTTCCTCGCGTGACGACCAGAAATACCAAATCGAGGTAAGCGTACCCACGCTAAGAAGCAACCCAACAAACAGCTTACTGAAATGACAATACTATTGTTTGGAGCAGAAATGTGTGGCTTTGTTTACAAAAATATTGGATCATAATACATTTTGATTAATCTGGTCGGCAGTTAACATCACTAACTAGCCTGGTCGGCCTTATACATTCGGTCGTCTAAAAACTCAGGAAGTTTCATATAGAGTACTGTGCGCATTCTTCAAGTAGGCAACAGTGCTTTAACGCGGAGTGGGCATCCTTTAAAAATTGTTTCATTAAGCACCGCTTGTTTATGACCCGTCAATTTTGACCAAATCTGCGCAGCATAGTTTAGCGACTGAGGCGGCCCATGTCTGATTGGCTATGTTGCGAAGAAAAGAATATAAGCGGCTGTAAGAGATTTTTACGAATAGAGAATCGACAGTACTTCAAAAACCAATAAAACATAACAGTTTCTCGCCTTGTTTTGAACATTTTCAGCGGACAGTTTTAGGACTCCCAGTGTTGGTTCTTATATAGGCACACATTAAATGATAAAAAACATAGGTGACTTTTGTCTATATATTTTCTGGCAGACCGCGAAAGATCATTTGATGCGCATTAGCAAGTGGATTGCTGTCTTGGATCTCTTTCAGTTAATGGGAATTGAAACAACTTTCGAGATCCTGCCAACGAAAACAGGATTCAAATCACATCTACTGGCTTTGCGCGCTTATGGTGTGAAGATTATGGCACGTTTCAGTCGAATGAGAAGTTAAAATGGACAGTGAATGAGCTGCCACAAGTAAATTAAAAACAAATTTGGCGCCCGGCAATTTTTCATAAACTACCAAATACACAGTTGTGCAGTTAGACACTAGTGGCTGCAGTGGGTCTTTTCGATTCCAAGCATCTAAATCAGTTGAAAGTTCGCGGAAACACGAGATTGCTAAATTTATTTTAAAAAATTACCTCGATCAGGACTATTAGTTGATGACAGCAATGGAACCGCACTAATCTGAGGTGTGAAATTAATTGGTGACCTTAAACTGGGCAAATATGACCACGATAACGATAAAACCGCAGTTATTATTTGATTAGAATGTACCCAGAGGACAAGGCTCTGGGGATATGGACGAATGCAATAACCTTATTAGCTAAATTTGGGGCACATATTGTGAACCTTTTGGCTTAATTCCTATTAGGGACAATCCCATGTGGCTGTGTGTAAATAGGATATCCCAGATAAGATAGTTGAGTAAATATTGGACATCAAAGTTGGTTCATTAATTTGCGCTCCTCCACTGTACAGCCTTCATCAATGGAGAACCAAGCATATGGCAAAACAGGGTACCTGTTTTCGGTCATTCTTTGGTATGGAGCATTCAGAAACATATCTTCCATGTGGTGATCGTTGGCTTGTTCGCTGAGCTGGGCAATTTGATTGCAAAGGTTTCATCACCAATCGAGGTAACGTTTGCAATCAAATTGCCCAGCTCAGCGAACAAGCCAACGACCACCATCTACGATAGCTGAGCTACCAACATTTTCCTCTATAGAATATCTCCCATGTCACATTTTGTGGAGTAAAGAATAGAATAACTGTCACAGATATCAAGAAAAACAGAGAAGTCATACACTGCCCTGAATATACGCCCAAAGATCGTCTGGATCAAGTAAACGTTTTTTCCAGAGTTAAGTTGGCTGCTGGAAATGTCATTATTCTCTTCAGTTTTCGGTTCCTGACCATGTCGTTAGTGCTTTCTGGTTGTTCATTTTATTAGGCCCACTCAACTTCCTCTGCCACTCTTGTGATGTGCCAAGAAATTATTATCAGTGTTCCGTTGTACGCCATAAATGGTGACAAACTGAGCTGGCCCAGTTTGCTTTATTACTCTTTTAGAGTCCTCACATCCTGCTCAATTTTAGGGTCGTGAGCTGTCCTGAGGTTACGATTAATATTGTCTAAGTATCCTCTGCACATCTTTCCAAACACTGGTGTCTGTTCAAAATCACAATGTGCCATGGTAATGACAGATATATAGGGAGACCACATTTATACTGAGGTTAATTTCGTTGTATAGAATTTTGGTTTTTATTACATTTAAATTTTCATTTGGTTAGTGTGAGTCTTTGGTAATTTTTCGCATAAACAGCGAGTTCCTCATCGCAACAGCAGCTGATAACGATGTACTCGTGGGACTGATTTGATGAGGCTGCACCTCACACTACCGACCACTCGGATGTTTTATAGCGAACTTCAGCATGTATTCAGTTTTCAAGCCAAATCACTTCTCCAGTCATCCACATTCATGCGAAAAGTATGTGGCAATTTTAGTGACAAACGAGAACACAAGTTCATAAATTACCTATGACACGTTCTGCTTTTAGCATACAGATATGCATTCGTTTTTCACACCTCTATGAATTAGCATAAAAATGGCACAGTAACTTAACACTGTTGCATTGAAGTAAGAAGGTAGTGGGTTTCTAGTGGCCTTATCACGTCAATATATTCGTGCTTGATAATATAGGATTTGTTAGACTAATGAATCAGTTTAAGTGAAAAACTAATCGAACTGTTTCTTTCGTTTATTTTCAAAATCCAAAACAGCGAACGTGCTTGCATTATCAGCTAATTTCCTAATATTATTCAGGAATGTTTCGAAAAATCTAATGCAACGGCCCTCTGATATGAATAGGTTGCTCGTCCTAAAATACATACTCCTGTCGGATAATCTCCTGATCAAAGAAACTTTAAGGACGCTAATTTATACAGAGATTTCCAGTAGCTGCGGCATATCTCCAAGCGTATCAGTGAACACAGTGGCTCGACCACCGGCAGCTACTTGCTCCAAGCACAAATCCTTAATTCTTCAAATCGTAAAACAACTTCTTAGCAGGAGAAACGAATCATAAATATTTCGGAGGATTAGTCAGGATCCCTTTCTGCCTCAGAACAAAGATTATTTAGTAGTTTGTTAATGAAGTCTGTAAGCACCACTGAGTACCAAACACCGCAAGTAATTTATGCTTTTACGTAGGTGGTTTCCGGTTTTGAAGTACTTGTCTAGTTTTGTTTGTTGATGGATAATCTTTCCCTGCACACTTATGATGACAAGCGTACTTTCAGAGTTATCTCGGGGTGCCAGAAAGTCAACTTTCTGTGTTTTCTTTCTTCTGCAATCATCAGACGGTACTGTTTGTTAATTCATTTAGACATAAATGCGACCTTGCTGACTGAGGAATAGCCTTAGACTTCATGGTCCTACATGCAAATCAGCCCGAGTAAGAAACTACCCTTTCGTGGATATAGCTTTCTAAGAACCTAGAAGACTGCCTCTTCAGCAAGCAGACCATTCTCGGGTAATCCCAGTAGTTCTGTTTCACTCTTCTGGGATCTATTTTATCCGTGTGATCCCTGATATAAAGCTACGTAACAAAGTGTAGCTTAGTTACTATGGCACCTCACAGTCCCCGCATACAAAATTGAGAGGCTATCAGGCTGTTATGTTCCCTTTCCCTGAAAATATTAGCAAAAGTGAAGTGTTCGAATTCAATGAGGTATTTTAGTCGACTTATTTGGATTGTACACGGGTGAGGAAATGCTGGATATATCAGCTCGTATTGAGGGTACTTCAGTCAGAATTTAAGATGATGTCACCCAAGTACTCGCTAGAATGTTATTTCCCTTGAGTTCTCAGTGGAGAGGTCGCGTTATCAAAAGGATACCACCCTGTGGATTACATTGCCTTATGTTGCGTCTTTCCTAAAAAGCTGAAGCGCAGCACGCTGATATTCCCCAAAGTGGAACAATTGTATCACTGTTTCAATTCATTAAACTTGTTTGTAAAGTCTTTTGCTATATCCCTAGATCAATCAACCTTCAAGAGGAAGACGATGCTGAGAGCTGTCGACGGACAATATTTACTAATACACAGAATGACCGGAAAGTCTTACTGTTTTCCATATCTTTAGTTCGTCGTGCGCTTGGTTTGTTCTCACGCACTTCCTGTGACGGTCCTGATAAATCATGCAATAATGGATGTGGTTTGGCGAGCTATTTACAGAAGCTGGTACGCAAATCACTCTTAGTAACGCGTAAATATACGTTTTTCAAGGTGTGTTGATAACGCCTTATTGGCATACTTGGTCATAGTGACAACTCAACTGATGGATAAAATCCTGTTCAGCTTTACCCATATCTCTTTTAGCCTCGCTCACAGTTCAGAACCACTGCCACAAACACAGAATAGTATATGTGCTGTATCATTCGAACACACTCAAACTAATGGTTTTGAGGACATGCTCTTGTTGATTTAAGAGAAAACCTCGAACAGTTCATTTGGGACTTTTCCGAACAGGCGGACCGAGGACCGTTACTTCCAGTTCACATTAAGGACAACACACTAGTAATACTCGTATAAATAGACGGAAAATATAAAGAGGGCTAAAGTTTCTGTCTGCAATTATGGCACACAGCATGTTTACCTCTCTTCTGTCCGTTATGATTTTGGAGTGCGCTTTGCAATACACAGAGGCCTGGAAATGGAATCGAAAAGTTCCGGCACTCTTTCAGCCCATCGGTAAGTGGTTTCTGTGCGTCTCATTTATACAAGTTCCCTGAACACTGAATAAGATGTTATTAGGTTTCCTTATTTTGCAGTAAACTGCAACCTCCCACTGAAGACAAAAATTCACTAACTCTGTCACAGGCGACAATTTACTGGCAAATAGTTCATGTTGCTTGTCACTAACACGTACTGATTATCGTGGTTTATTTTGAGAATGGCCATTTCGTGTTTATTATTGATTTTATAACTTCTAAATCACGTTGGTTAGTGTTGTTTTCTGGCAATCCCCCTCTAATGTCCTACCCAGGATCTACTGGTGGTGCTCGTCAGTCTAAATGACACATTGGGCTATATTGCGATTTTTGCTGTTTCCTTAGGTACTGTTATGGGGGCGGACAACGAAGGTTTTTACCTGGCTCACAGATGCGACAGTATAAATATTCATATCATCTGCAAACTCAGTTACCTAAAGTATGTCTGCAACATTGGTTAGTATTTTATGAAACAATGATCGGTTTGCATAAGGACGCACATAGCTTGCGTGCAAACATTGTGAATGCAGATAAACATCTGTTGACAGAAGTTGTACCTTGTTGACCTTAGAAGTAACTTGAAGGAGCCGGTTTTTCAAACGGCTCGCTTCTGGTTAGCTGACCAGAATATGATCCCGTAGTCTGAAGATATCAATATGCGGCTAATATGCAGTATGCAAAGTTCAAGCATTTTACGTCATCTATGAATCAATCTAAAGCAGAGCTAACTGTACCTTCCAGTTGACATCATCTATTTCATTCAGTTTGAGGCCAGTCGTTTCTCACTAGTTGTGGTGCTGTGAAAGCCAACGGTTGTTGGCTTCGCAATGAACTGTACTTGATTACGCTGCGAAAGTGTGTTTTTAATGAAAGTGAGGGCAAATAAATTTGTTGGAATCCATGATTGAGTGTGTTGCCTCCTTACCTGTTTGTGCAAGTTATCCATCCTTGTTTGGAGACGTTGGAAAGTAGGTATGATGCTTATAATCGAGTATTAGGGCTAACCCGCTCCTCGAAACTACAAAACAGTTTTACCTCTCCGAGAATACCACTTGAAAGCTATGATGGCTGGACAAATCAATGGCCCGAAACACAGACAAGCTGCATTCATCCCATCTAGTCATTTGAGACTAGAGGAACCTATAATTACTTGGTCTTTTAGTCTACAAAACTCCACCACTGGTGGATTTACTGCCAATATGATATGTCGAAAATTAGTTACCAAACATTTTCCTCATGATGACTCTTAAGAATGCGCTCTTCGGGATCTTTTAGTCTACAAAACTGCACCACTGGTGGATTCACTGCCAATATGATATGTCGAAAATTATTTACCAAACATTTTCTTCATGATGACTCTTAAGAATGCGCTCTTCGTAAAACGGCCACAATAATGTCTGGGCTTTTTGGAACTGACGCGTACAACATTGTACGAAGGATGCTGGGACAAATTATTCGAAGTCTCACTTTTATTGTAACACCATGGATAACAGGAAGCAGAAGAGAAGCAGTGGGGGTGCTCAGATTCCCATAAAACTTGCTTAGTCTATAAAGTGACTATTCTCACATTGAGACTGCTCTCGGAGATCCAAAGATATGACTGCCGCAAGGAAAATTTCGACAGATACTTCTTTCCGTAAGTATTCTTATTTACTAGCTGATTTACCTGAGAATTGTGTTTTAGCATTTTAAATTTATCCTTTTACAGATCCCAAGTCTACTTAGAACAGCCACCGTTTTGGTCTCTTATGCATACTTGTCCAAAGGCAATGGCCTCTTATTTTGTTGACTTGGCAGAATTAATAACTCTTCATCATCGAATGTAGGTACAAACCTTTCAAACATACAACCCAACGTTGTTTTCATCCGAGCAACAATTTCCAAGTAGACAAATTGTAGCCTGTGCTTGTAGTTTAACTTATTCCTATAAACAGATGCAAAAATGTGCACTTTCGACTGGCAAACAGGAGACACTTAATGGCATTCCTCACCTCTATTTATCTTTATAACCATAAGAAATGCTTTCATTCTGGACAACTGATAAAATCCCGAGCGCTTTTATCAATTACCGTTCTTCTTCTATTGTAGAATTCTGCAACCTTCCTCCGTCAGTGGGCATGTGTCGAGCCATGATACCGCGCTTTGCATTTAATCCGCAGACAGGTGAATGTGAACTGTTCTACTACGGAGGGTGCGGTGGTAACGGAAATAATTTTGAATCACGGGAAGATTGTATGGCGACTTGTGGTCGTTAGAAACGAAAGAATGTATGAGGAGTGAGGAGTCAGGAGCGATCTTATTACTAATGTTTGTTGTGCTACTGTAACTTGTGTCCGTTTCAATCATAAATTGTTTTCAGTGTTGTATCCGGGGTTCGCTCAGTGAAGCACAATATAATATTATTTGAAATGTTAACACTGAGTCTATCCATACATCTTGCAACTCAAATAAAAATTGTCAACAATAGATCTTACGTCTTATTGTTTATGTGCTACAAAACGTTTACGCGTGTGCGACGGCTGATACATTGCCTGTCCCACAGTATCTACGCAAATGTGACAAGAAATGTACGTCAAACTAAGTGTGCACTTCAAGTGTTACACAGGTTAAGAGGACTGCAACTTGTAAACCAACAGATGACTGTTGCTAGATTGATCTTTTGAAGGGTCTCGAGAAAAAATATACTGGTTTTGTTAGCCTGGGAGTATCACATATACACATCTTGCAATGTAAGCAAAAGCGACAGTCTAACTAGCTTACGTAGAGCTCATGGGCATTTGGTTTCTATTGAAAGAGGTCTTAGTCTTTCTTGCGTCATCCTGTCATCGATACAAAATATAGGGGTTTTGTCAGCCCGGTACATTCATACGTACACGTCTTGCAGTTTAAGAGACAAAATTTTGAACACATGACCTGAACGGGTGCACAGTACAATGCGCTCCGTCCAAGATATCGCACACCGAAAACGTCTGTCGATGTAAAGGGAGAATCTTAAGTCCATGGTTTCACTCTAATCGGTAAAACACAGTATCATGTTGGATATTTGAAGTCCTTTTGGACAATGTGATCACATACGACGGTTCACTGATTAAAACACGAAGCCATAACTGCCTCACTGAATTAGGAGGAAAGAAGCCTGAGCATTGCAAGGTAAACGAAACTTATTGTGTGTGCCTAAAGATATTCTAATAAGCATGAAAACTTTGGAGAGTAAGTGGTTCTCAACCCCATTGTTTGGAAGCTAAATTCTAATAAGACATACGAAACAGGGTTGCGTAGACAAAATGATACTCAGTGTATTCTATGGAGACGTCCTGCTATACTCATGATGTGGGCGACAATGACCTTCCCTATATTATTCTCTTAGTATTTAGTAAACCCGTTGCGCAAAATTATTAAGTACTTATTGCATATGGCTACACAACGCGCGTATAAAAGACCTAAAGCTTGGTAACTCAAAGGTGATTGTTTACAATGCTTCCTTTTAGGTGCGCTACAGCAAGTACTCTAGAGTAACAGTTGATAAATTGTTGAGCCGAATTGTTTTCTGTTAGTTCTACAGAAACGTTGACACTTTATTTATGAAAATGTCGGTGCAATTTGCTCACTAAACTAGCCAAAATATGAGCTCCCTTTTTTCGCTTCCAGCAAAGCTTTGTAATCCACAAGGACACTATAAGGCACATTCGATTCTAGTATACACTCGATGGCTTAAGATGCATCTATCTGAATGAATTCCGGGATGTTCAAACGTCTTGCTCCAAACATGAGAGGTGATGAAACAGCCTGGAATCTCCCCTTTAGCCGAAGCGATTGTTACACTGACGTAGATCCTCCACTTCTACCCACAAGCAACATATTTAAGGGCCGCAGCTTGTGCCACCCTAAATTCACTGCAATGGGTACTCACATCATTAATTCTTCAATTAAGTCCTCAGTTGAACCTCTGGATATGGGTGGTTAATCGGTTTGTTTAAGATCGGTAGTAACTTTTTCTACAGTCCACCGATCAATTTATCACTTAGAATATATCTGTTTTGTATAGCCCATTGACGTGCAAAACTTTAACCTGTTCCGGACGTTTTCCAAATGTAATGAAAACCAGAAGGAGTAAAAATCATTTCTTAAGTGATTTCTTGCGTCCATTGTTTCTCAGATCACTGGCCAAAATAGTACTGGATTGTTCCAGGCCCTCAACCGTTGCGTGCAGAGAACATCACCGAGAATATTACTGTTTGATCACTCCACCAAAACCTCCCAAACATCTGACCTGGTCTGGATAAAACGTTAGTCTATTGAACTTAAGGTCAAAATTTTCACAATGAACTTTCAAATAGATCAATGGGTTCTGTACGATGTCACATGAGATACCAATCTTTCTAACAGCTAAACTGATGCTGTCCACTCGTTCACAATATGATGCTAACATTCAAAGAAAAGACTATTTATTTCATTGTCAAGTCACTGAGAGATTTGGCACCACCTCATTTCAACAGCTAATAAGCCAAAAGAAATGCGAAAAATTTCTCTGATACCTCCGGTTGGACATGTTGGGCTGGGGCCACTAACGTCTCTATGGGATTTATCTCCGCATATTAGGAAGGTTGGCGTTAAATCTGCCAAAAATTATAAACTTTTTTGCAAAAACTAGTGTACTTGTTGTTTCCGCGAAAAAGTGACTTTCTACAAAACGCATATATCCCGAGTAAACAGAATTATTGTAGAGTGAAATTGTGAATGCTTGTTGAAAGTGATAACAATATAATGTGCTGTTTAAACCGGAAGCTTTCCAGTGAGCATTAGAGAGAGCAGTCCAGGTCTGTGATTTTAATTTCTACCACGCATATTTGTCGTGGCTTATATGGAAGCCTAAAAGAAAACGTTAGGTTGGCACTCTTAATACTGATTATGTACTGGTTTTTGCGTCCTTAGAATGGCTCCTGTTCATCATGATGCGGTATAGAAAGTAATTTGAGTCAGAAGTACTATGCGCTTGAATATGTCGCCCAGAAATATGGCTATCGACAGAAGAGTACTCCAAATCACTTTGTTTCCTCAACTTTGCATCTAAACTGCATCCCAATTTCAACACGGAAACTTCCCAGTGCGCTTCAATAAGACTAAGTTACACTCTCTCAGATGGTGTCGGAATAATGTGTCGTTTGTATTACTCGCTACGTTGGATTCTGTGGTACTCACCGCTCAAAATCATAGCCAAAAATTGAGATCATATGAAATAAATGAGTGCCTTTTAAAGAACATGTATTAGTAAATCGTTCTTTAGTTCATACTGTTTTCGGATGTCAAGATAGTGAAACCTGAAGAAATCTTAAAAATACACAAAAGTAATAAAGGACATATTGCACTGGTAGCACGTCACACAGGTAGTGTTTGTTCATCAAAATGGCCACATAAAATTATCACTAGCGGCAACAGAGTCTAAAACCTATTACGAAGGGTTTGGACCATAACGCGACCCACTGAGATTTATTGATGGATATCCGTGCGACACTCACGGATCTCTAATACCCGGTTGGTCAGTGCTTGGAGATCTGACTAATACATTATCCTTGCCCTCCATGTTGGGAGCTGGAACACATATGGTGACGGGTTCTACGAAAATGGTAATTCACAAGCACTTCTCACGAAATACAGCAATCTTCTGATAACTGTTTTTAGGCAGTGGCTTTAGCTAAGGACCCTAATTTTTATTATGTGTAGGTCTTGGCACTCAGGCCATAACTCAGCCCACATACAATGATCGGCCGTCGTGTGGTGCCACCAGCCAGATCGCCTTACTTGCTGCATACAGAATGACGGGTAATTGAAAACAGACTGCTGTTGACGCCTCCCTTCTTTCTCCTTTGCATATTTTACTTTCCTCTCTCCCAACCCTTTTCATGACTCGCTCTGTACATACTGGTTTTGCAATCAACCTGCAAACTGCGCTTTATCCGACCCCAAAATCCTCATGCAGCTCAAAATCAGTCTTCAAGCCCCACACTCAGGCTATCTTACTGCTCTCAATGTTTTCACACTGAGGCGATCAAGACAAGAAGCTACTCTTGACCTCACACTGAACCTGCTTGGCACTTGTGTGCTACGTATCAGAAACAAATCACACTGAGGTAATCAAGACAAGAAGCTACGTTTGATCTCACACTGAACCTGCCTGGCACTTGTGTGCTATGTATCAGAAACAAGCAACAAACTGTCAGTACTGCGAGTGAGATAACTGCTCCACTCCTCTCCTTTTGCTTGAGGTGAGGTTATTTCGGTGATCCAGTGGCCACTGCGGCGGAATATGTTCGGGTTGGTCCCATCCTATTCTATACGGCGGAAGGACCCTTGCTTGACTGTGCACCTGTTGACAGTTATCAATTCGTGGTTTGCCTGGAAACATTCGTGGAGTTGTCTCACAAGCGGGAAGTTGATCAATTTCTGTTTGTCGATTCCAGTTACGTAATACCTGACTGTGTCTCTGACACCAAAAGAGACAAATTTTATGACGCTCTGAATGTCCTGTTGAGCCGAGCCAAGAGCTCAGATATCGTGGTGATTGCGGGGTATGTGTGTAACTTCATTCGGCAATAAAATGGACACATTTCTGCACAGAATTTGAAGTTTTACCAGAATAAAGGTGCTTCCAAGCCCGCTCCAGTACTATACGTCAGTCAGAACTGCACTTCGGTCTAGGGGAAAAATCTCCACTCGACAGATTATCCGACGTCAGTGTGTGCACATACGTTGAAGCCTGGTGGATACGGAAGAGGCCCGGAAAGCCGGACGGGATCAAATATACTTTCAGTTGGTCCGTGTGACTGGTTTTAAAAAACGACCAGTGAGCTAAACCATCAGTGATTATAGTGATGTGACCGTTTTAAACAGAGAATGCCTCGGTCGCTGGAAAAACAGTTCCCATGGCCGACGGATGCTACTCATCTGGACTCTACAGCTGACGCAGAATCCTTGATAGTGAACCTGGAACCCATACGGCCTCGGAGGTCTGCGATTGCATAGTGACTTGCATTTCAGCAGTCGGTGTAATGTGGGTAGTTTGTATGACAGGCGGTTTGCTCGGAGCCCGGTATGCTACTGCGCATGAGTCTCTTAAGGTGACAAAAATGTGAGGGACTAGCGGGAAAAACTGCAGAAACCATTACCAAGTCTCCAAAGCACCAGATGGTGCAATATAGATCTTATCCACCAACACAGCCATGTCCCAGTGCGACACCCGGTGTCTCCACAAAGCACCACACAAGCATACTAGCCAGGAGCTGCCATCACAAGTAGTAGTGATTGAAATGAGTAGACACGCAGTATATGTGCCTGATGAGCTGCGTTTTTTCCCAATATTTCGAGGAAATCTG